GGGGGATCCTGCAGAGACCTGGGGTCCGACCGAACCCTTTTTGGTATGATGCTCCAACCAACCGAGCCACCTGACCAGGGCAATTATATCTCAATTTTTTCAAAAGTTTAAATGACCCGATCTTAACCCACTCCTCTTCTTCACATATTGAAAAACTACTAATGCTTCAAGCTACACTGTTCAATGTGGTAGCCACTAGCCAAAAAGAACTATTTAATTATAAATTAATTAGAAGTAAATAAAAATTCAGTTCCTCAGTCACACTAGCCACATTTCAAGTCTTTAAGACTTGTTTCAAGGGCCACATATGATGACTAATACCATACCGGACAGCACAGATATAGAACATTTCCATCACTGGAGAAAGTTCTGTCGGACAGCATTGGGTTAAAGGTTTTTGTTTTTTAAAGACATGAGACCTGTGCAATCTCCAGAGAAGCACATTGTGAATTATTTACATGTAATTGCCATAAAAGGGGGCGAGGTCAGAAATTCCGGATGGGACTGGCTACTGCCACCCTGACATCAAGGGGAAAAGGTAAGCAAAGACGTGGAAAAACTGAATAGCAGAGAGCGAGCAGCATCGCACAGCCAGGGGATGAAGCTGCAACTGGGGTTCAGGAGACCTGGGTTCTAATCCCTATTAGGCCAATGATCCATTAAAATTTTTTAAATATTTATACTTGGCACTACTTTGGGCCTTAATTTTTTCCTCTCATATTACATAAATTTGAATTGGAAAACCTCTAAAATTACCTGTAGCCCTGTATGGTTAAAGCATAAACACATACACAAAATGAGGTGAGAAATAAAGGTAAAAATAAAAGAGAGCAAGATCCCTGCATATTGATGGTAGGAACCGGCACTGCAGTCAGCCTAGCACAAGTTCTACTCCTGAGGCCAAGATCTGGATACCACCAAATGAAGAAAGATTAACTGAATTCAATAAATACTACTGAGCAATTATTTGCAATAAACTGCACTATTTTGGAAGTAACACCCAAAATAAATATATAGATGATTAGTCTTAGTCTAAGACCAAAACTGTGAAGGCATCCAAGACTCACAGAACTTTAGATTGGAAGACTGCTTCATTAACATGTAATAACCTAACTGGCCCAGTACCAAGGAACACAAAAGTATCTTAAAACCTTCTGGAGGAGATACAACTAACCTTACATAAAGTCATATACAAAGTACAAAGGCACGGCAGAATCAAAACTCATACAGCACCCCGGCCCCTCCCGCCCTTCCTTCTACAGCGAATATAAACAAATGCTGCAGGTACTTGGAAATAGGAAGACAGCAATTTTGGCCACCCTAATTTCTCTAGAATCCACACCTAATTAGGTAGTCGACATATTCTAGGTTAAATATTCTTGACCTTAATCGGAGTTACTGGAATTAAATAAATTCTCAATCTGCTGTGCCAGACAAAATAGCATGCATGCAGAATTCTAGCCTCTAATATCTTCTACTGCACACCCCACTTTCTAGGGGGGCGGTTGGTCCTATTTCCTAGGATCAAAGGGGAGAGAAGACCTTCCCCATCTTTTCTCTGAGGCTTAAGATCTAATGTGAAAATTTTAAAAATGTTTACCACCTCCAGATTTTTAAAAAAACAAACACGAAGATAAACTGCGTTTGATATTTTACCTTGCAGAAACTAAAGCAATCCGTGAGTGAGTAACCTGTGTAAGAATTCAGACTCATTAAGAGCCCCAAACCATACCCCGGAAGATTTCGGAGGAGAGTGAGTATTAAAGCGACCATCAAGGAAACCAGGAAGAAAAGATTTTAGCTAAGGAGCCTCCACTTTAGAAAGGCAGTTTTTAATACCCCACCTTAATCCCACGCCCAGGACCGCACCGCGCGGAAACCCTGCCGAATTTGAAAACAAACGTCGGTAAGGGCTTTGGGAGGAGTGGGGGGGCGGGGGGACTAGCAAGGGGGGTAGTAACTGACAGCTCGGCCTGGAAGCGAAAAGCCTCAAGTAGGTCAGACGGTGTCAACGTCTTGCGATCCAGAGTCCACCCCAGCGGGCTGAGGGGAGCAGAGCAGCAGAAGGTAGGCAGGGGGTTGGCGTCTTTCAGGGCTAAAGGGGCGGGATATCTGTGCCGAGAGAGACCTGGAGCCCAAGCTCGGGGCAGTTCGCCTGCTCTCACCTCTCTTGGGGGCCTTGATCAGAGGCACCCCACCAGTCCTCTCGCCGTTTTCCTGCTTGTCCTTGTGTTTGAGATCGCCCGGGACGCAGGAGCCGGGGTCGCCGTCGGAGCCGCGGTGATGATGGTGCTTGTGCCGCTCCTTGTGGCCCTTATGCTTGGGCCCGGCCGCGCTCACCGTCAGGGGCGAGAAGGTGAAGAGGGCCGAGGTGCCCGGGGCCGGGAGCGGGGCGGCGAC